CTCAATTTTTCCTTTGTTTTTCCCTCCACAGAAGTACGATCTTATGTCAAAAGGCCCACAGCTTAGTTGGCCAGCCTCAAAATATATAAATAAAACAAAAATACTCTTTACAGAAACTAGAGTAAGTGTTCTCAGGAAGGAGAGCTAGAAGACCTGACAGGATGGAAAATACCTATGTATATTAATATTTCTTTTAACATGTGGTAAATACTTTAAGCTGTTTAGCTGAACTTAGAGTAGCTGAAGAAAGGGATTTTTGCCTTTAATACTGAGCAGAAAATACCGCAATTCCTAGGGGAACAGCTGCAGAACCAGACACTGCTCAGCATTTAGGATTCAGCCTTCCCTGAATCTTCTACAGACAAGCCAAAATTATGGCAAGGACTCCACTCATAATTCATAACGGAGTCATAATAAAACATAGAAACAACTGAATAACTGATCTGTGAAAAACTACCACTGACTGTGGCTTGTCTAAGGCTCTCTCCACACATGGACATTTAAATAATGTTCTTCAGCACTGTAACAGCAAATGCATTATTTCCAATTCAGGGCTCCATGCCAGACACTCTTTTGTGTTACTAGTTATTTGGAACATGCTTGCCTTGTTTTCATTTCCTGACATTAATGGCTATTACCTGTAGTACAATTATAAGCACAGCTAACTCACTTGGATGGACTCAACACACACTCCACCAAAATGACTGACATCAGAGAAGATCAGCTTCTGAAAGTGCTAGAAGCAAACAGGACACAAAACTTCTGTGGTTTGACTGACCACAATTGTGAAGTAATACAGCGTGCTACAGAGGCTCTGATGAAGGGTACCACAAGAGCTCCCCCTAGGAAAGGGATCTCACCTCTCAGGCAACGGAGGAAGATTCCTGTGACTGCCACACCAACCCAGTGTGAACAGACCTTACTGGGTGCTCCTGCTTCCAAATCCTTTTTCACTGCTGTACACAGAGCTTGAGAACTTCAAAAGCCCCAGAATCGAAGAGGCATCAGTTGGCATAAAAATGGAGATAACTCAGTGGGTCCTAGTATATGATCTTCTAGACATCAGACAGAAAACAGGTCCAGGAAAAACTGGCCTTGGTATTTCCAGAAGGCCCATCCTAGGTGCGTAGAACATGTGGTGAGAGAAGAGACGATTTGGTTGTTATGCTGAAAACAATCAGAGCTTTTAGGGCAGTGCTTGCACTTTTTGCAAACCAGAGAGATCAATGTTTATTATTGAAAATGAAACTCACTATTCCAAAAGAAGAAACTTATTTCAACTTTCCTCTTTAGAATATGATAATGGCACAGTCTCATTTTTAGACTTGGAACACTTTGTATTATAACATTATCCTAAAGAAAACATTATTGGTCATAGATACAGATTTAGCGTTATCTTAGCCTAAGTGCTCTTTAGTGATCTGTCCAGACATAAGAAAACTTAACCAGTAAGACAGCTGGGAAAGTGCTAATGAAGTTCCTCAAAATCATCCACCAGTAATGAACAAATTAATTACCTCCATTGCAAATGTCAGGGTGTGGTGGCTGCTGACCAGTCTAGCTGAAGTAAAGTCAAGCTATAATTTACACAAAACTTTTGCTTGCAAGTAAAGTATACTTCACTGTTGAAGATCATGACTTGTCCATTTACCTTACAGCTTCACACTGCTGCTACATCTGGCCTGCGGACAGGATAAATCCCGCAAAAGAGAAGACAACGCCAGTAGCAGCTGTCACAACTGCACTGGAAGGCAGGTAAGGTGCTCTCTGCTGGGACATCTCTGCTTTAAATCTAACACAGAATCAACCATATTGTTTGCCTGTTACTAGCTGCGCTCCAGGCACAGTTCTGCATTACACCCTGAGCAGTTTCAAGTGCTAATGTGCAGTCATATTGGGCATGGAAAATAGTGGCTGAAAACACTGATTCTAATACTCACAAACACATGGGTTGCCCAGTCACATGCACCCCCTTGCAGGCTCTCAGGGGGGAAGTCAGCTTTCTCATGGACAACTTTTGAACTGTTAAAACTATGCCTAAACCTCACCAAAACACAACCCTTGCCCATGCATTTCCTATTCAGCCATAACTTTTATGCATTCACTAATTCCCTGCAACTCTTTCATCCTGATCTAGAAGAAAATAGCACCTACTTTCTACAGTTTTGCCTGAAAGTTCACAGGATGGAAACCACCAAGAGCACTCTGAGGACACTTCTGGAGAAAAGTAGCTCCTGTCACTCAGGTTTTCTTTCTGGTCTTTTCTAGCTCCAGGAGGGCAGTCATCCTTTTAAAGTATATAATCTACAGCAATGAAAGAGTTATTATTTAAACATTAGATAGATTTCTATACAAATTCTTTTTAGAAGAGGCTTTTAAAGTCAGTCTTAGGGAGAACTGTGGGGCTTAAATTCTGACCACCAGACTTCCAAGTGCCTCAGAGGAGTCAATTTCTCAGCAAACATCAGCAGCAAGAGGTTATGAATGCTCAACTGAAATCAAAATGTACATGCCTAATTTGCCTCATTCAGTAAATTCTTCCTTCCTTCTGATTATCTAAGCTCCAACAGAATTTGACTCTTACAACAGTTTAGCTCTCAGCAAGAACGCTATTTTTTTGGACTCAACTCCAAAGTTTGGATATAAGTTTTCTGATACAAGTCTTCAGATGAAGTGGTTGGGATTGTTATAGTTGTGGCTTTTTAAAAAGATCAGTGTTTTAACGAAAAACAAAAAAAACCCAAACAACCCAACCCAAAACAACGCAGTTTTGCATTCAGTGTCATCACAGCGACACAGGAAAATTAATGTGGTACATCTCTAAGCTAGAGATGTAACATGAAACAACTAAGCTAATGAATTAATGATAAATGGTAAATATCATGTAGAAAATTACATATGATAGGAAACTGGTTTACCAACTGCTGTAATGCAGAACAAGTACTTCTTTATGTGATCAATGTAGTACATAAAATATCCTGTGGATCTATACTAATTTAGTTGACTGAAATATGATCACGTGAGAATTGCTTTGTTTCACCAAATCATTAACAGTTGTTCAGAGACCTGCTAAGAGTAACAAACCGTGGCCTTGTCCCTCTTGACATACTGCAAAATTACTGATGTTGATAGGGGATGGGGAAAGAACACATTCTTACAGTTCAAAGCTGTAATCTCTGAGTCTGTATTTTTCTCCACAAAAAATGGTGAGCATCTTCTTTGTGCTCAATGTCTCAAATGAAAATTTAGACAGGAAGGTAGTAAAAGCTACTTTAAGAGTTTTAGCAACACACCAGTTGCAGCACAAGTCCTGCCCTCAGGAATAATGCAGACAGAAAGAACAGATATGGACTAATAAATCTGAAAGCACTAACTGGATCAGAACACTTGTGGTCCCAGTCCCTCCACCACCACCACAAAGACCTCTGTCCTGGAGCTGCACACTTCCTCTGATGTGCTCTCAAGTAACTTGCTAAAAAGACCCCAAACCAAGTACAGTTTAAGCTCAAACAAGAAAAACAGTTTGCATTGTTGCCAACAATATTAAGGCTGTCAAGAGCCCAACGCCCATTATTCAGCAGCTGCAGAAACAGCTGAGAATCTACATATTCTGAACTTCCCTCAAATGTCCCAAGCAGGCACTCACATTATCATCATCAGAGCTGAATATATGAAGTGCCATAAAATACTCAATCCCTTTTGTTACAGCAAAAGAACAAGTGAAGCAAAAATTTATCTTCTGTATTTTGAAAGGGGCTGATCCTAGCCACCATTCCCTAACTGTTTTTTTTTTTTTTTTTGTAGGATTTGGGAATATGAGCACTTTGCTGTTCATGTCCTTAGGTTACAGCAATTTGTATTAGAGTTTATTTTCTTTATTTCAAATCAATTAGAAATAAGTGTTTGTCTCCTATCCTCCCCCCCCCCCCGCTTTTTCTATTTCTAAACCTGAACTAATTGTGTGGCTAATTTTTATGAGATCTAACTGTTTGAATAGCAGATGTTTTTGCTTTGAGCTATGCAGATGCCATTTTCTACGAACACCAATTAGAAAGCAAACAACTTTCCCTATTTAAATGCATGAAAACGACCACACCATTCCTCTTTGTAACATCAGCATTAGAAATGAAGTCTGTCTCTGGTCTGTCAATACAAGTGAACATCTCAGAGACCTGTCACATTGAATTAATGGACTTTTGGAAAAAAGAGAACTTGCCCTGTATTATGAGAAGCAGCTGACTATTACAGCCTCTTCCCAGATAGTCACCAAAGGAAGGATGACGGAATTTGGTTTCATCACAATTCAAACAGTGAGTCTGACCAAATATGCACTTTTTGCAGACATTTCTCATAGCTTAAATACCACTTTATTTGCCCCTTCCTCTAACCCACAGGTCAATATGACTGCTTCCGCTACCATTCACCCACTCAAGTCAGGAACTGACTGGTGCTAAACCAAGTTTTTTAAGGCTGGTTATCTTTTTTAGCTTGAATCATTTCCAGAACTAGCCATGTGCAGTGGCACTGACATGAGGCATGACATGACAGCTTAATTAGGCCTGTGAGCCTAGTTAAGCTGTAAGGTTTGGCCAAAAGAAGTGTTCTTCCAGTTCAATCCTAAGCAAAAGGAGAGGGAGGCTTGAAATCTGGGTCTCAGCATGTGAGTTCTGCTGGGAAGCATTCAGCTCATGTGCAAACAGGAGCATCTAAGGGTTGTGACCATTGCATGTGTTCTCCCAGTGGTGGGAAGGGGTGAGATACTGACAATTTTATTTAAACATCTTTTTCTTCTCTGCAAATAAACTTACACCTTTCTTTAGACTCTTCCACAGGCCACTTTGCTTTCTTGTCTCACATTAATAAAAAGAATTATATATACTTCACATGTAAAAAGGTGACTTAAAAATGCAAACAGGCTCAACATTCCCTCCCCAAATCCTTTGGAGACTGAGTAATTTTCATGACATCAGAAAGGCAAATATGGCACAAAAGAATGGAAATTAAGTTAAAAAAATCAATTTTATAAATATTCTTCCTCTGTACAATTTTTCACAGCCCCATCCCTCCCACCCATTTTTATTCACATTTCTTTTTTTTAAATTCCCACCCCAATTTATTTTTAAATCATAAAATATATATTTTAAATCTGTTCATATTTTAAAATATTTACAGGAAGAGTTCCTTCTGTTGAGGTCATGAGGAGTCTGTACAAGGAGAAGGTGGAGGGGGGTAGAGGTGAAAATAGCTTCGTTCTGTGGCAGGAGACGGAGGGCAACTTTCTTCTGCTGACATGTATTGACTGCGAGGTGTGGGTGGTGGGGGATAAGGGTCTGAGTCTGAATTTAAATCGATATAGTATTTGTTGGCCTTCCATCGACTAGTAGTATAGTCACTGTCACAAACATCTGTGCTGCATGGGGTTGTGGGTGGAGCTATCCCTCGTATAATATATGGCCTGCAGAAAGAAAATAAAAAACAAAAACCCACATGCATTAGTTGCAATCTAGGGAAAAAAGAAAGACAGATTGGAAATGAGTAGCTCTGTGTCCTCAGTCAGGATGCCTGCTCATGAATACTGTTGTGAACCTTAATTCATGTTTTCATAGGAAATCAACAAGAAGTACCTGAACTGTGTTAAATTTGATTGGCGCAACTACAACTACCCTCTGCCAGCAGTACATTTTTCCGGCCCCCTGACCAGCCAGAGGAGACCACCAGGACCATTTAGCCCAGTCACTAACAAATAGTGTGACTAATCAAAGAGTTTTATGAGGAGCTTGATGAACTGAACAGAAACCACCAATTTTCTCTATACAGGATGGTAAGGGACTTACACAGCAATATAACCTACCTATACTGCAGTATTACTTAGCAACACTGTATTGGAAGGCACTAAATCCTGTCATGTCAAAACATGAACACAAAGCCAATGTTTAAACTTAAAACTGGCATAACCTCCATTTAAATGGTCATTTAATAAGAGAAAGAAAGTTGTTTTTTTTTAACAAGGTGAAGTCTGCTTAAGATCCAAAACTAAAGGACAGATCAATAGAAGATTTATCAAAACTTTTTATATGAGCTGTACCTGTAAGATCTTGTGGTTGAAGGAATGTTTGAAGAATAAAACATCTCTGCATTATACAGGGAGCGATCGGTAGCTGGGGAAGGAGGTGGGTTCAAGATCTAGGAAAAATAGGAAAAAGTGCAAAAGTTTGGATTAATTCTACAACTACTTCCTTTGAAAATATTATTTATGCCTTCACCCTGTCACTCATTTTATTTTCCTCTCCTTGGTGCTTGGGTGAATTAATGCACTTTTAAAGAACATGGAAGTTCATTATGAGGCTTTACTCTGGGCTCGCGTACACTTCAGGCCTTCAAAGTTCTCTCAGTACATGGCATTTTCTTCCTTGCCACATCCATTATTACACTGGAAGGCTGTGGTAAAGCTGGAAATGAGACACAGTTTTGATGAATCTCAGTGTACTTCATTGGATCTAAGGACTGATATCATCCTGAAGGAAACAAAGTCTGTTCCAATCCCAGCCCCTAAACTAACACCCAGGTTAGCAGCAGGATCAGGAGGCCAATTTCCTTTACCATAACTAATACAACTCCATTCTTGCCTGAATACTTTTTCACTGTGGTTCTGTAAACACATGATTTTGACACAGTTCACAATGCAAAGAGCCTACAAGCTAAAAAATAGTTACAGCCTGCCCTAGCCTGTGTGTGCATACACAGAGTTGCTGGTAACCCTCACACTAAGAAGTTTGTTGCTCTTCAGAATCCTTTAGGATCCTTCCCATAGCAGGAAGCAGAACCTCTGACATGACCAGCAGGATACTGGCCTAAAAACAAGGACTGCACTTCCTCCTGTCCAATGTGGAAAATTACAGCATTGCTACTGATGGTAGGGCCTTGCTATTGAAGTGAGTATCTTGTACACAGCCTGTCCTGGGCATTCTGCCAAGCCATGGCCTGCCACAGTGACCACGATAGCATCCTTCCTCGCCTCTGCTCTTCTCTCATTATAGTGACTGTAAAATCACTGGAGTGGAGGTCATTGTTTTGGTCTTCACTGCGCAGTGTCTAGCAAAATGATTCCCGGCTGTTGAATTGAGCATATCACTATTAATCATAAAGCCATAGAATGGTTTGGGCTGGAAGGGACCTTAAGGCTCATCCAGTTCCAACCCCCTGCCACAGGCAGAGACACCTTCCACTAGACCAGCTTGCTCCAAGCCCTGTCCAACCTGGCCTTGAACACTGCCAGGGATGGGGCAGCCACAGCTTCTCTGGGCAACCTGTGCCAGGGCCTCACCACCTTCACAGGGAAGAACGTCTTCCTAATATCTCATCTCAATCTCCCTTCTCTCAGTTTAAAGCCATTCTTTCCTCTTTCAAGATACATTTAAGTATTTTCATATAAATTCAGCTATGTTTTTCTGTTCATCCTTTTTAGTGTGGCTTTGACATATCAACCCAGTGTTAGCATTAAATTGTTCAGCATGTTGCACAGATACTGGTGAAGCATGAGACAAGCTAAATGAGGAGGGCTGCTGACTTCCAAACATCTGCTAGCAGGACTAGCTGCTTGATAACTTCATTGAGAAGGTAATGCAAGAAATAAGTAACAGTTTTACCATATCAATAGATAAGCTCACAAGCCTCTCTTTTCTATTCTTGCCCTTCTTAAACGGGAGAGATATCCACAAAGTATGTGGGCTCCCAAAAAAATCACCTCAATAGCTAACAGATTGACTCTGCAAGCTTGTGTGAACAGAAGAGTGAGTGCATGTTTTGCTTGGAATCACTAAGGAAAAAAACTTACATGACAAAATGCTGGCTAACAGTATGTAATGTTTCTCTTACATATTCTTAAAGAATAACTCCTATTCATGGCTTTGAATTCATTCAGAGAAATGGGGATTGAAATTCACTTCCAACAGCTAAAAGCCAGAAACTGAGCTAAATTACAGCTGAAAAAAAACAAGCAAAGTAATCCCTGCCAGTATAAGTGTTTTCTCCCATGCACACACTTGGTTTTCTCAATCAACAATCGACACTACTTGAACAGCAAGCCAAGCTTATTTCTTATGCGTTTGCATTCCAGTCCTGCTGTGTCTTGTTTGTCTTTCTATTCCATGTGTGCAGCATTACACAGTGCAAAATGTCATTGGGCCACTGACATCAGAGTTTACAAAGAGCAAAGGAGGTGGCATCTCCAAGGGAGTCAAGACATAAGAACAGAAGTGCCCAGGAACAACCCAGCTGAATACCACTCCAGTAGCAAAACATTATAGACACTGTATAGCATTGTGTGATCCTCATGGACTACAACAAAGTCCTATCATGGAGTTCAATGGGTGTCAGACTGCGCCTGTAGATCATAAACAGTAATACCTTAGAATAACCATTATTCTATTTAGTAGCATAAATTTTCATCTTCTCTTTCTTTAAAAGTGGGAGGTACTTAACTCAAAGGTATATTTTCAAGATGTACCTGTGGGTAGAAAGTGGCTTTAGTGCTGGATGAGCTACTTGAAGAGGCTCCAGTAACATGGTTTCTGTCATATAATGGGGCACCGCTGCTTCCTCCCATGAGACTCATGGAGCTGATCACGGACTTTCCACAAGAGATGCCTGCAGTCAGACAGAGAGGAAAACAAAGTTAGGTAAACCACAATTCCATCTACCAGCGCAAAACAGAAAACAAATCCACAGCTTGGCAAACCCATGCAATGCTACTGATTGTCACTTTGGGAACAGTGTTCTATGTAAAAACAAGGAACAACATATTTTGTAAAGAAAACATCTTGCCCCCACACCACTTAAGGTTTCACTGCAGCACTGAACACCTCCAACCTGCTCTCAACACTCTGCTAGAGAAAGGAATCTCCAGAACAGCTGACCCAAACTTTTCATCCAAATTGTTAACTAAGAAATTTTCCAGTTAAATTCAGGTGTTTGCAAAAAACCATTATACACTGCCCAAGAAAAACAAGCTAGAAAAAACAAGCTACAAAAGTTTCCATTTCCATCCAAAGCAAGTTAATTGAAAGTACATGAACAACAGCAAAAAAAATCATTATTTTTATTAAAAAAAAAAATAAATCAAAATCACTGCTGAAACTGAAACCAGCAGTGGCACAAAGAAGGAATCCTGGGTGACAGGAAGAGGGAAGACAACATTCTCCAATCAGTTTTGCTGCAATATACACTTAAATCAGATCACACATTCTGAGCTTCTTCCTGTCAGACTACTCAGTGCCAATGAAGCAGTTTAGTTTGGGAAGGTTTCAGAAAAATTTCAGATGCAGAAAATATTTATTACAAGCAGAGTGGCTCTATCTAAGATCAGCATTCATGAATAACTGTTTTGGAACTGTCATGGTATGAGAAACCTATGTCTTTTCTTTAGAATGAACAACAATGGTAAAATTTTCAGCTGCTGTAACTTGTCACAGCAATATGGATTAGAAAAAAATAAGAAATACAAATGAGAATCAGAATGACAGCTTGGTTAACACCTCCAGAGGTACAGACAAAACCCACTGATACCTGCTTTAATTAAAAAAGCTTCAGTGTGAAGCCCAAATTAGAACCGTGCTGCAAAGATTTCACTTGAAATGATTTCATCCTTAGATTTTATTTCCTACCACAAAAACCTTTCAATAACCATAAAAACATACTTTAAGCAGGAATAGTTGACCACAGCCACTAAAGTGTGAGAAAGGCTAAACCTAAGTTACATCTGGCTATCTTCAAAGACATGGCTAGAAGAAAACAACAATTAGCACGTCTCACAAAGTAGTTTAATATGAAGAAGTGCCACATCTTTTCATTTGTCTTTATCATGCATCTGATTTCAGCTGACATGAAAAGCAGACTCCAAATACTCTTAAGTATGGATTTCCTCTCTTCTGACCCCGTCTGGCAGGTTTACAGATCAACATTTACTTTTCAGCTTCCTGAACAGTATGAAGATAAATTCTTTCTTCTCAGGGCTCTATAGTTAAGACTTTGCTATTTCCTCCATGAAAAGTATGTTTTACTTTGCAAAATGATCTGAGGTACACCATTTAAGTGTTTTCTTTGATACCTATTTGAGGTTTCTGGATTCTTATTTATTAGCTGAATATCCTAAGCTTTTATGTATACTTCAAGTCTTCCTTCGGTCTCAGCATCATAGTTGAATGAACTTCTCCAACAGGACAGTTTGAGTCCTTTGCGAGGTAGAGAAGCTTTGCTGGTTTAGAGATGAAGGACTGAGACACAGAGAGAATAAATGCTTTGTCCAAAAGAAAACAGGAAAGCAGTCTCAGAGATGGGCTAAAACAAAAGGCACATTTTCATTACACATCAGGCAATGAGCAGCCAGACTACGATGCCACACCCAGGCCACTTGTGTTCTTCCACATCTGCTGCTGTAACTTTGGGAGGTTTATCCCGTGCTTTTTTGTATTACAGTAAAGTAAGATGCTTCACTTCTTTCCCCTGCTTCTTTCCACTGTGGAATAACATATCCATCTTGGGCAAACAGGCCAAAATGTGTGAAGAACTTTAATGGACAGGACAGACACAAAGAATAACTCAACAGAACTTTCACCAGAATGCTAAATGGCATTCTAGGAAACAGGAACATGTGTTTCTGTTTCCAATATTGCACTTGGTTCACTAGTCTTCATAATGTTTTGCGGGCCTTAGGTACGAAGTACTACACAAAGCTCTGGCCTTATTACATAAACCAGAATTAGCTATTTAAAGAGCATGTTTTCTCTGGCAAAACACAGTTAATTTTCTATCAAAAAGTTAAACACCTGTGCAGATGCAGTTTAGCATGAAAACTGATTTTGAAAATATGGCAAGATGCCTACTGAAATGTGTTTTTGCATATCTGATCCAAATGACAGATTCATACCAAAACCACTGAACAGATCAACAACATCTAATTTCTGCACTCTAAATAGTGTGTATAACTCCAAATCCAGACAATGTAATGGTACTAATTAGGTGCAAGGTCCTTACCATCCTTACCAGTAAAGGTGCCATGCTGAGAACTTCCTGGAGCAATAAAATTAAGAGGGACGTGAGGGGTGCCACTGACATACTCATGTGGAAAAGGACTATTGGGTCCGGCATAGCGCTGACACACCACTCGCTGGCAAACAAAGTACATTCCTCCCATGACAAAAAGTGACAATATTATACCAATGACAGGACCAATGGCACTACTGTGTGGCTGCGACTCGTCTGAGGATGGCTTTGGTTTTTCTGGAAAGAGAGGAGAAAAAAATAAAGAAGGGCATTAAACATGGGGCAATTCATATGTTGCTGTCCTGGAGCTTGTTGCAGCGAATAAGTCAGCTCAGTCATTCACACAATGTCTTTGGAAGCATCTGCATCAAACTTGGCCATCTATAGCTCCACATATTCTGATACCATGCACAGGACTTCATGCCTCTTCCTCCCCTCCATGTACATCAAGCAGTATTAGCAAGGTACTCTCCTTTGTGTCTAGCAATTCATCTCAGAACAGGATTACTTAGCACCTTGATAAGAACAGTCCAGGAAGTTTTCTTTTCTTCCCCCCACAAAGTCTACAGATTAAGGATATAGGACGCTTATAAACATGAAGTCCCTACTCAGAGAGGACTCTGCTCTCTCAAAAGCCATTTGTGCTAGTTTTTAAAAAATTAAAAAACACTAGAAAATAAAAACATTAAAAAAAAATCATTAAAAGGTTTTACCAACAGGAATGCTGCCATATGTATTATGCAGTGGATGTCTTCCTTGATAATTAGGGCTTAAAATATGACTTGCTTTCTAAAATAAACCTTACAAATTGGAAGGAAAACAAAGTACAGAATATCTCAAATACTTCCTACTTCTCATTTCTTTGTTCCCTATACAGCCCAATGTTGAACCATAAAAAGCGCCGCAGTATTTGAGATGAGCTATGTTTCCTATCTTCCCTCATTTTGGGTAACACATTCAAAATTATTGTTAAATAAACCTGACACCTCTATGTTTTTCATATATGTGACATTCTTCAGTGAAAACCAGTTTTTCCACGATTCATGCAACATTTATAGTTCTTTTTTACATATGCAAATATACATTTATATTCATAAAGTGGAAAAATCAAAATAAACTTGGCCAAAGCCTATCAATTTTACACATTCAGATCAAACAATAGACCCTTTTCCCCCTTAATGAAGCTGTAAGAAGTGAAATGGTTCACATAAGATTCAAGCCTTCACTTCATAAAATTTTTCTCCAGTGGTTCATTCCTTTCAGTGGAAAAACAACTGAAATTGGAGAAGGAAGATAAAGGAAATAAAAAATTCTACTGATAAACTCTTTAACAGCGAAGCATCAAGAATTCATTTCTGCTTCACAGTCTTCACACTTATTAGTGCGTGACAGCTTTTATGCCAGCTAAGTCCCTAATTTTCAAATAGATTAGATCACATATGACACCAGAAAAAAACAAAGCCAAAATTAAAACATGTTCCCAAACTAATTAATTTAAAACACATAGTTCTCATTTTGGTTAAATCTAGCTTCTTTTGAATGCAAGATCCTTATCTAGAAAGTAGCAATCATTCCCTGCTTGAGTTCCTTCCCTCAGTCAAGCAAGAAACCACAGAATGCTCTGTTCCACTAAGAGACTCCAGAGGAGACAGTCTTATGTCTACATAAAGACACATTTAAATCAGTTAAGACCTAATTGCAGGACTGGACCCTAACTGCAAACAGGAAACAGCTGCATTAACTTGGCAGCATGAAAGTTTGTCAAGTGCACAAAGAAAATAAACTGAAAAAGAAAAGAAGAGGAAGAAGTGGCTTTACATTATCCAGAGAAGCAAGGGAACAGGGTGAGAGCTGAGATAAATGGAAGATGAGGGAGAACAGTTTTTGTGGCTATTCTTTTAGCCTTTTCTTCTATTCACCACTTCAGTGGGCTCCCCTCACCACTTTTATGAAATACACTTTTCCTTGCAGTACCCCCCATGAGGATGGAAGGAAGAGACAAGGTTACCTAGACCACCTGGTGACCCCTCTTTTCATCAGAGCAGTGGCACAGCTTCTGACAACTGGTGCTTTAAAACCTGACAAGACTCTAAGATATTAAAAACCCTGCAATTAGCCAAGGCCCTATAGGCAACATCATTAAGCAAAACCACCCAACACAAGGTATATGTTCAGAATGAATTACCAACAGATCAGCACATCTATTTGCTTCTTGTCTAAAATGCTATGTTCCAACTGTTTTGCTAAACAACTTGTGAGCTACTAAATGCTCCCTTTATCTGCCCCATAAACTGCCCCATAAGCCTGAAAACTTCATGCACTAGTCACCCTGATGGTGCAAAAAGAGGGGAACTGCAGGCAGAGCACAGGTAAGTGAATTTTACCATCCACCTCAGACTGCAAAATAACAGATCCTGCTAAGGACTAATACAGCAACAGCCATGAGCATGCCTGTAACTTGCATAAACCTACTGGCATGGGAATGACAGTTCAAAGTAACATTTTGCCCAGAAAAATCAAGGTCTCTCTCCTTATATTCTTTTCCTATCTAGCTGCACTTTAAGAGACAAGCTTGTGGTCTCTTGTGGACTTTTGCTCACTGCATGCTAGTTTCTCCACATAATTATCCTGCAGCTTGACCCTGTAATTGCAGTGGATTGGGCTGTGCACTTTTAAAAGCCACCCCAAGCTTAGCAGCAGCTCTGCAAGTACCAAGATACTGAGCACAGTAGAATCAGATCCCCTGGGTATAGATCTGAAGGCTCATCTAAAGAAGGCAGCATTGTATCCCATATAGCATTTTGTGCCTAGCTTGAAGTAACACTGGGATTTCAGATCATCTTCACTAATGCTGTATTGCATTTCCTGGAATAATAGCGTTACATACTTTATCACATACATAGTACATACCTACATTTTATACAACTATGAGAATATGTGGCCAAGATTCACTGGGCTACCCTGAAAGAATATTACTGTGCAAAGATTGGGGCTCTGCATAGGACATTATGCCTGAACACAGCACTTGAATCTCAAGGAATGACATCTTACCACACATAAGCTCATCAGAACCATCGATGCAATCTGGAAAGGAGTCACACTGTTGCTTCAGGAGGATGCACTGGCCGCTTGCACATCGGAACTGATTGGGTAGACAAATTGCTGCACAGAAAGAAAGACAAGATTAAGTACTACTTGCATGGCAGCATTTGAGCAACTTAAGAAAATAAAAAGTGAGACATGATGCCGCAGTGTATTTTTGACCAGGTAGGCACCAGAACATCCGCTTTGCTACTGTGGGTAAAATGCAAATCTGCATCTCTCTTGATGCTTTCTTCTTCTTGTTAAACACCCTAGTCAGTAGGGCTAAAATAAAATTCTGATCCCAGTAACTCCCCATCCTTTGTCAAATCAGTCCTGTTGGGGCAAAACTGGGATCAAATCAGCAATAAATAATCTCACAATAACTAAGAAGTGTAGCTTATCACCTGACAGGTTAACAAAATGTAATACCTTGACATATTATAATCTTACATAGTCTGTAGTATGTTATGTAGTCCTGTATAATATAACCTTGCTAATTAACTGATAAATTCCTTATCTATTTGTAGGAGCCTCTGATTCAGTGAAAAGGACTTGTTAATTAACTTTGGAATCTCTGTCAAGTCAGAGCATATAAAAAGACATAAAAGACAGACTGTTGTACAAGGGCTAGTAAGCAAGAGTTCTGGAAGGTCACAGTACAGGCTATTTAATGCAAAAATAAGACATGCTGTTTTCTTCTGGAGGAGAAGATCCAAATTCATGTTTCGGATCACAGCACTGGTGGTGGTTTGACGTAGACCTCCTCAATAGCCATACTTACTTTGCCATGGTCCATTTTGCAGAGCAGTTCTCATGTAAGAGAACTAAATTATTTATGGAGAAAACTTAGCTAGAAGCTTGATATGCATCAGCTCCTGATTTGGACTGTTATGCCCCCAGTAAGCTGGATGCAGCTTCACAAGGTCTTACAGTGCATATAAAACATTTACATGTTAACAGAAGGCTCTAAAATTATCTAGAGCTCCCACCACACCACTTAGGTTTTTGCACTATGAGAAGGGCCAAGTTCTGTGTGCACCTTCCTAGTTGCCAGTGACTACCACCCCTCAACTTATTCTTGCAACTGTCTGCTTCTCCTTTGTCTTCTCTCAAGTCTTCTGTCTTAATATCCTTTCCCTTCTTACATGCTCTATTTTCTGTTGCTGTCCTGCCTTGTTGAACTTGTGGTTTCTTCTTGATCTAGCAATGGACAACTTGGTGTACTGAACCTGTCTTGCTCAGGTGATGTAGTTTCTTCAGTGGCATGGTAATCCAGTTGCAATATCATGACACTGTTAACCTTTTGACTTCCTCAGGATAAGACAGAACTAGCTAGCAGTACCATAATAGGTTCAACAAGATAAAGGGCACAGTCTTGAAGATGTGGGACATATCCAGGGACATTTCTTTGGCCACTTCCAATCACAGTATGCAACCCCTGTGCCAATGCAACTTTCCAAAAACATGCCTTGGGAAACTAGGAGATAGGAGAAGTGGCTTCTGAGAGAATCAAGGCATTGAACTCAGACCTATGGAAAGGCAGTGATTATCACTGCTCTGAGCACAAGGCAATCCCTCTGATGCACAAGGTGGAGTACCAAAGTTTTATTAAGCCCAGTTAGCCTCACTACCTGAATAAACTTCATATTGAGAACAAGAATGCACTATATGCCACCTTCCCTTCCCCAGTAGGCTGACATATGCTAACAGACAAGAAAGGCCTAACGGATTTTAATTTTCTTAGGAATCCACTCTGGCTTTGGCCTGTAAAGATTCCTGAGGACTACAGAGTCCACATTCACCACATCTCCCTCAGTATAACCCTGGACACTGAGTATTTTTATAGCTCTTCTAAGGAAGTGTCAGCATCCTGGACAAAAGTTTAGACTTGGGTGACTCAAGTGCTTGCAGAAAACTAGGTGTACAACCACTGAGCATTCAATAACTGAAGAAATGTGTCTTCAACTATTCTATACCAGATGGTAATGCCCATCTGTGCCCTCAAAGAGGCAGTGCAGGGAAAGGCAGGCACCTACAGTTCATATGATGCCAAAAATATTGGCATAAAGTTTGTTTAGCAGTGCCCACCATTCCACAGTGAGATGACCACATACACATTCCACCTTGACTCTGCATGTGTGCAATGGCACTGTTAGGTTGTATATGCGCTCCATGCTGGACAAAGCAGGGCCTCTTGATGAAGCAGTACAGTTAGCAAGTACCACCTCCCATAAGAAAGACAGGAACTTAGGCATGACTGATCCTCCTCTTCTTTGCAAAGGTGACACTGGTGTTCTGGTATCCAGGCTCAAAGTTACAGAGAAGACAATGCAAATCCACAGAATTACTCACTGAAATGTCACAAAAGTCTATCCTGCTGGCCCAGTGGCAATTCTTAGTCACTGAGTGGGTAAAGCCGATGGTCCTGAGGCTTCAACAGGCCAAGAGCCACACTACTGAATAGGCTCCTGAAATTCTGTACAGCAATAAGAAGCCATGGTACCCACTCATAGTCAAGTGTCTGTTTCAGCTATGCCTTGATCCTAGATACAGAATATGCAAGGTTTCCCATCTACTAAAGGATGATGCAAATGCACCCATTCATGCTTCTCTTTGGGACCCAGGTCCTATGGCTGACTGCATACAAAGCAGCTGCAGCAGTAAAAGTTCCTTGGATGTCATTCCACAGATTTCTCATAGAAAGGTATATCCAGGATTATAAACATCAGGTTTCTAAGAGTGAACTCTCAGAAAAGCCAATTCAGCCACAGGATTAAGGTGTCCTGTGGCACCTTGCTGTGAGCACTGTCCAAAGGTGAAGTAGACACCCAGGAAACAGTGCAAGCCAGAATGATAATTCTACAGGGAAAAAAAGCATGTGTTAAGTTCTGCCAGATTCTATCCTGTTTTTGTTCAGGATATGTATTAAAGATACTCTCCCCCCAACCTCCCACACACCTGTAGTTACATGGTCAGAAATTTAAGTAGCTACAGAGAAGTTTAATCTGAGCAACAGAGTAAGAAAGAGGGAAAGAAAACAGTGGATAGCTTACTTAGGCTTATGGTTAAGGCTGTTTTTCACCATCTGAAACTAAAAATCCTATACAGACATATGAAGAACACTTAGAATCCCACATAGATGCTTATGTTAAAACCACAAGTTCAGGAAAATCAATCTTACTATCACAATCTGCTTCATCAGATTTATCTTGGCAGTCAATTTCTCCATTACACCGCAAGTGTGCATCGATACACTGTCCTTTCTCACACTGGAACTGGGATGCAGAGCATATTGGGCAACTATCTTCATCACTCTGGTCATCACACTCTGGAAATCCATCACATCGCCATGCCATTGGGATACAGTCAATCTCTCCAGTTGCACAGGTAAACTGGTCTGGGGAACAAGTTGGAGGTTCTGAAGAAAGAGAAAACAAATCACATTTCTATATTCAATTTTAGCCCTTACAACAAAATAACGATGTGACAGACTTTAAAAGAAAAACACACATCCCTGAACTGAAGTTCTATCACAATATTAAGATTCCAGCAAAGAGGAAAACATGATTTTGCATAGGGGACGAAATTTTGCCAACGTTATATCAAAAACTGGATGCATGCTGGTTGAAGAATCTTGCTGTAGCAGTTGAGCACTGAACTAAGGACAGGAACTACAAATACTTACTTTGGCTCCTACAGTCACCCGTTGGAAGACACTGTCCTGCACAAATTCAAATAAATACTCAAGCCACAGTCTACACAACTGTAATCCCTGCAAATATATTACCCTGGAACAATTCTTCATAAGAAAACTTGGCACATTGGGTTAACTGACAATTAATCTACTTAAAACATACAACATCTGCTTCTACAATATCTGTTTCTCTATTTTTCCAGTGGTTTATCCACAAATTGCTGAGTTAGGTATGAACTGAAAAATATGAATGTAGAAAAAGTATCTGTAAAGGCCTGTTAAACATTAAGCTAAGTCCTCTTGCTGGAAAGTCCTAGGCTGTAGGTCATTGGAGGTTCAGAAAGTAGTCTGGGAAGCACCACAAGCCTGCCTTGGTCTTACATTCTTTCACTATCGTCAGGGACAGAACTCTGGACTTTTATTTTTTTGCTTGTTGGACCTAAGAAAGCCTGGACTTCCTTCAAATTTGACTTTTCATGGACCCCAAGATCCTGGCATCAATCCACTCCACAAATATACTGTTGCCCAATCACACGCTGTTAGCATTTAGCAGCAGCTACAACATGATGTAGAGATGCTACAGTTATGCTACAGGAAGACATTCATTGTTGCTTTCTTTTGAATGTGAAAAGACAAAGACAAACCAGATCAAGAATCTATTGCAAAAAATGCTGCTAATTCTTACATACATCAAATTAGCACACACTTTTCCACCATTAATATCAACATATAAGCCATTAGCCAACATGTGAACCTTCAGTTACTGGAGTAGCAGTTATTTATGTTGAAAATGAGGGAAGCATCTCAAAACATCACTGCAGCAAACAGACACATTTCCACTGATTTCAAAAGTTGCTGGGTCAGATCCCTGTGATGTAATTAAACAAGTCAACACAGGCAGTCACTGATCCCCACTGCTGCTGTTGCCAGTGAATGCTCCAAGTAGATGCTTTACCACTTGGATTAACAGGGTACCACATCACACCCTGTCTATGACAACAGTACTGAGCAAGCTGGAGGTGTGCTCTGACACTGGATGGCAACAATCCTCTGAAAACCAAATAAGCTTTTATAAACATCCAGGCTCAGCGCTAGACATCACAAAGAACCCAGCTTAACGAAAGCTTTGCAGCTGTAACCAATGACAAGACTTTTGTATGAGTATTTTTTTCTGGAAGGTAGTGTAGATAGATCCTAGAGCTATGCAATTACATGCAAACCATTTTAAAAGTGCTGCTGTACTTCTTTCATTAGGCAGGAATGTTCAAAAATGAGACTCAAGTATAATCAAGAGCTTGAAAAACAGAATGCAAATAAAAATCGAAATGCATTTTATTTTTGACAATGTTATGATTTTAAAGTTTCTGATTTATGATTATTTGGTGAAGCAATATAAAAATTGCAGCCAGGGACCTGACAGCTGTAGGTAAGACAAAGATGCCAGATACGCATATTAAGATAATTCTTTAATTAAATTCTGGAATGAGTGTGCTGTTTACATAATTCAACAGACAGATTACTACTTCTGCATCTACAGCCACATTAGTGTTGCATTACGGTTGCACTTGGCAGACACAACTTGCATTTAAAAACTTGTCAAGAGCATTCAGAAGAGTACATGGACAAACATGGACAAACAGCTAAAATAGCTATTAATCTTTTGAAATATTTTATTATTTTGAAATAATGTTTTGAAATACTAGCTCTTGGCTGCTACTATGGCAGACACGATAGGTTAAAAAGTTGTTGCAGGCTTAGTGAAGGATTAGAATACAAAAAACAGACACTGATGGAAGCCCCTGGATTTTTTGATTTATCACTGAAGGTAACAAAGGAGTGGGATATAGGAATCTCACGTTGGCCACGTTGTGCAACAACAGTAGAGCAAGAAATACAAGTAGGTTGATTCCCCACACAGATGTAACCACCACTACTCTAAAACCACATAGCCTGTTGTGGTCATGGGAAAGCAAGCAGTTTATAATGGTAATGACTGCCCCTTGGGAGGTCAGAGTTCATCCAGAAAATGAAATCCACGGCAAAATGAATACATAAAAGAAGTCAAGAGGACAAACAGAGCCAAATAATTTAAGATATGCTGCCTCCCAAAAAGAAGCACTGTTTTTTGTTTGTTTGTTTGTTTTTAATTCCCTCTGCAAGCATAACAACAAATCTCAAAAATCCAAGAATTGTGAAAGAGCAGTCTGCAGAAAAAGTCTACTATGTGGAAAGAGGAGAGCTACCTTAATTAAATTAATTAAAAAGGATTGCAATGAAGCTTTTGGCCTACATTTTGTAACTAGGCAGTACAGTGCTTCATGTTATGAAGCCAAATTCATTTGAAAGAGTGGAATATGACACAGTGGGAATCATACGTACATTTACTGCTGCTAGGTCATTATGGGTTGATGCAACATCACCTTGTAAGCTTTTGTTTAAAGCACAAACCTGACACATCATACAATTATAAAAATCTCAGTAGAAGATGCAAGTATTTTTTGGTCAAACAAGAATATTCTGCTCACAATCATAAGTCACATATGTCCAAATACTGAAGCAGAAAACAGTCGGCAGAAGAATCAAAGGTCAATTTAACACATGATGCAACATACCATGTGTAGGAAAAAAATCATTGTGCAATCCACATTTTGGATTGGAATGCAACCTCAACTCCCAACTTTTTTGATGTAAACTGCTCAACAGTAGAATTAAATGTAACTCACCTCCACATGTTAAGAGATTCTGCAGAAGCACAAGGTGCTCGGGGCATGAACATCTTGGAGTCCCATCCCCTTTGGCAATGCAAATGTGTGAGCACCCACCATTGTCACGGGAGCATGGATGCACAGCTGGAGAAACACACAGAAAAGAATATCAAAAAGCATAAAAGAAATGATAACTAGTCCTAGCTAGGGCAAACTCACCAAACCACTCACAAACCAGTTCTATTTGATTAACCAAGATTTCACTACAAATTAATCGGAAGATAAATGCAGGATTTTTCAATTCAGTGCTCAAAAGCTGATTTTCTACTTCATGAAGACTACATTTCTCCCAGTTACTAGTGATACGGACAACTTTAAAGGACTCCTAAAAAGAATTTGGGAGCTAAGGGGAAAAGGAATGAGAAGGCAGATTTTGGAAGGTCACATTTACAGCGTACCTAGACATCCCACCTGCATTTCCAGGGTAGTCAGGCATTAAGAATGAACACACATCACTGCAGAATGCCAACCCCCAAATCTTTCAGGAAGTCTCCTTTAATCTTAAAGAGCTCATAATATCTAGCCCCTCAATTTCCCTGTTACTTGCAAAACTGCAACATAAAAACACACAATTGATTTTTTATTTTTTTTTAAGGAAGCTACACGGTTGTGTGCTCAAATCACAAAATATGTAAATTCTCTTTTACATTTCTGTTAAGCAGGAGGAGGTGTAGGTTGTCACTTTGAGGAGTGACTACTTTAAGAGGTTTCTACACTCTTCCTCAGACCACAGAACTTGGACCACCAGTCCAGGAAAAGAAGGCCCTGCATGCGTAACCCATTTCAGAAGGGGAGACCTAAAATGGCTCCACCTCTGACAGGAGAGAAATTCTACTTCCACAATAATTCATTGTAGGACTTTTCTGCACATTCTCCCTCCCTCACTGGAGGCTTTTACATCATTGATTATGCTGAATCAAAACAGTCATGCTTTACACAGGGGTCCAAAAACCCTGGAGAAAAGACAAGTACAATCCTCTTTTCATAGGTTTTTCCAAGTGTTATTATTTGGTTGTACTTTAAAAATTAGTAACCATTATTATAGGTAGCTTTTACTGTGAATTCAGTATCATGTAAGCTTCTACAAAGCAGGTAACTAAGTGCCATGAAATCACATCTTCTAGCTGCAGAAACAGTCCTTGACAAGAAAGAGGAAGTTTTTTCTCATCTGTTTCTTGGATCCCAGCTGGCTGAGTTGAAAGCACTCCATGGCTTACTTGAAGTCCACTAGGCAATCTTATTACAATATTCAGCTAGATGAGGGCTTTAAGAGACAGTGACCAAGAGTGAGAGTCAACAGATACTGAAATAAACTCACAGAATTCTTCCATATCAAGCTCTTCTACAGCATGAATACCAGTTAGGTGAGCAATTCGGCCTTGAATTCTAGTCCTTTTGTATCCGTTTATTTTCTCCACTCTCTCAATCATCTGCTGCTGACGATCAATCCAATACAAGTGATTGCCCAGCACAGTAAGTCCCATTGGCTGAAGGATGTTGGAGTCCTCCAGGGTCACGCGGTTAGCACCTGAGATCAACAAAACCAAAGACTAGCTCTATACCAGTTGAGTCTGAAATCATTTCTTAAAAATCAAGCAGCAACCACATCAAACGAAACCAAATATAGTTAGCTCTAAGGTATCTAGCCCCATCTGTCTATGCAGACCAAGGCTCTGTTTGTTCAGCTTCATCTCAAGTAAATGCAACCGGTTGCTGTGTCATGAGGGCAAGTAGATACAACATGAAACAGAGCTCATGCTTGCATAAACTGGCTGGCCAGCCAACCAGCCAGGATCATGTTGACATCCTGTCATGTGTATCTGCGCACAGTCTCCAAAGCCTGTGTCACTGACAGACTCAGCTCTTGGGTCACAATTTTTACAGTGCATTCACACACCAAGCAACAATACACTTTGCTGGAATCTACAACCACGAGTGAAATACAAACAGTTAACTTCACTGCCATTACCCAGATAAAACACATTCACCATGTAAAATAGGAGGCAAGTACACAAGCCCTGTCATACGCTACATCACAAACACAGAGATAGGATCACAAAAGAAAAGCTCGTATTCTGACAGCCACGCTTCTTTCTTTGCCTTCTCTTTTTTCTTCAGTAGCCAACCAGAAAACCCAACTCCAAGTAACTCAGTATGCTCTTAAACAGGAACACTATCAAATGCTCAGGCTTTATGCTCTGCAGAAAGGTGCAAAAGTCTGCACTCAGCCAATGTGAAAAACACACGTTAAGTAAAAATGCATTTATGAATGCTTTTAAGTTTAAATGCTTGCAGTATTCTACCGTGTGCTGCCCTACACTTAGTGGCATTTAATTGTTGCTCGTGTTACGCTTTTCTAGAGTGAACAAAAGATTCTAAATTATTCTATCAATTCACAAAAACCATTTTGAGGCTGTGTAATCCTAAGTATACTGGGTACATTTGACTTTAAAAATGAGGTATCAAAACAAAATCATAGCTTGGTGCTTCTTTTGCTTTTGTATTTAATTTTGGAATAAAGACCTTATGTCTGCTTGGATTTAAAACAGAAAAGTTTTGAATATCTACACAAAATGAGATTATAGAATCTGAGATATATAATAAAAATGCTATGAGCACTGGTTTCAACTGATTTGCTGCATAAATTACATAGAACTCAGCCAAACATCAGAATGTAACATTTATTTCAATTACAGATTCTATTAGTTTTGCACATAAAATTACCATCTGCAATGACTCTGGCTGTTATGACAAACAGCGTGCATTCAAATCAGATGTATTTACAGAGAGATCAGAAATTCTCAGACTTGCAGTTGGGGTTTTAGTTCTTTACCCTGAATTTCTTTTGTTTCCAAACCAATGCGGTTTTCAGGAGGTAGCCAAGGTACTAGTGGATTTTACTTGTAAAGAGTAAAAGAACAGATGTACCCGCACTAGTGTCACTAAATGGGCACTGAACCTGACCATTAGCACTACTCTCCAGCAGTGCAGGTCCTGAGATGTTCTTTGTCTTCCCCTAAGCAGGTCTTAACATGCAGAAATACTAGGAAACCTTTTGACAGAAGGAGGTTCTCAAAGAACAAAGCACAGGGCACTTGCTTATTTGTCCTGAAACCTGCTGAGCAACCTTAATTCCCATGACTTTAAGTGTCATTGGGTTTTCAAAGATGACTGTCCTTTTGTGAGACTAAGCAAATGGGACATTTTGACTCAAAAGTACAATTTTCAGCTGCATGGAAGATACAACAAAAACAGGGAAATTTCATTTCAACTCACTATAAAGAAAACTCCTGCCTTCATCAATTTTTTAAGTGCTAAATTGCTCATCCACTTAGAAATAAAAGGCACGTTGGTTTCCTGTAGGATATCCTGAAGGCAGCCTGAAATTGTGAATACATGAGGCATCAGGAGACACTTGCAATCTAGCAGTCCTGCTAGAATCCTAGCTTCTTTGAACAACCTACCAAATCCAGGCCTAAACCAGGCTTATGGGGTTTGTATTTTGGGAGAGTAGGTCAAGCATCATCTTTTTTTCTCCCTTATCTGTAAAATACTGAACATTGGTGACTTGGAAAGCTGTGAAGGCAGCAGTGGAAAAGGTGGTTAATCTATACTATAATTACACTGGATATCATCTTGATTAAATGACAGTCCAAACTATTAATGAATAATTTTAAAAGGAGATGCAAAGGGTACCTATGGCACTGGATGACAGCATTAAATTGTTCTTTGGAAGAGTGATCAAAATGAAAAAACTTGATCTAAATAAAAAAAAGGCTATTTTCAACAATTATGGTTAGAAACAAAGATTATAAAACATGTTGCAGGTAAGGAAGTGCTGAATTTCCATAGTAATTAAATACTTTGATTCCCAGAATGAAACAGATGTGTAGCTTTTCAAGATAGAAATCAATAGTTAAATGTAAACAACATTAAGCTGGAAGGACACACAATTCCTCTATTTAAAATCTAATTGAAAACAAAGCATGTTCTCATTGCAGCAATTTTGTATCTTTTCCAATCACTTCAACAATAATATAAAATACCACTTTTTAACTGCCTGGTGTAGCAGACAAGTTATTTGTGAATGCTTTATGAATGTCTAAAACACATCAATAACTCTAACTGAAAAATCCAAGAAACTCATAAAGAAAACTGTTAGACAGGTTTATGGTTCTTTCAACCCTCTCTGAAAGTTAAACATTGCACATCTGTGGTTACTTCATGATTTAGCAGTATGCAGTTAAGCAGGATATAGTGTAAGCTTCAGAATCCTCCATAACAATGTCCTCTCACTAAGCCTATGAGGGAATAAGTTGTCCAAACCAGTCTAATTGGCATAAAACCCATTATACACAATTTTGGTCAAATTTATTCAGCAGCCTCAGATTACACCAAAATCATTTTGCTCATGTATTCCCATTTTAAAGTGCTTTTCTCAGAAAATACTTTTCAGAGGAACTAATTAAAGCCAACAAAATTTTGGCTGCCAAATTTCTTCTGAAGCTGTGATGCAAGTCCCCAAAATAGCTTAAAATAAAAATATGCTGTTAACTCATTAAAAAAAATCAACAGTTCAGTGAATCACATTACAGAGAGCTCAGCTGGATCAAATACAACCATGGCTTTCTGGCTACATGGCACATATTCTCTAGTTAATAAATATTGTTTTTCTTCTAAACCTATAGCTTTCCCTTGCATTTATCTTACCTATAGGGTTTGATTCTTTAGGTGTGGCCTGATCAAATAAATATGCACTAAAAACTTGGGTTCAATAATAACCAGAGAAAGCTTAGTTTTCCCTGTAAAAAAATCCAAAGAATTGTATTAAAATATGTATTTAGTATGCAAACATATGGTTATATGGAGTTTTAATTCAATGAAAAGTAATAATGCGTACAAAGGAAGCTGCAACCACAGGATACAACTACCAGCATGTGATGGCCTAGTTGCTGATTTATTTATATGTCAGTTTACCCAAGTCCCGTTGTCAGGTCTTATTTATTCGAGACTTAGATCTAAAATAACAATAAACTCCCCTGCATTTTATGCTGTACTATGCAAGGACACAGTCCATCATTTTTTGTACATGCACACGCTTTTTTCCAAATGTTTAACTGCGTATCACATACCTGACAAGTCACAGCTTTCGATGCGCTTCAGATCTGCATCCACCCAGAAAAGCTTTCCAAGTTTGTTGTCAATCACCAGTGCTACTGGTCGAATAAGCCCAGTTGTAAAAAGCACTTCTCTCTCTGTGCCATCAAGGGCTGCACGCTCAATCTTGGGAGCTCGCTCTTGCATGTTGGTGAAGTACATGTACCTGAGAACAAAGATATCAGAACCTTCAGAAAGGAGGCAACTCACCTTTGCACACAGGTTCTGCATGTAAGTGGGAAAGGCTTACAGAGGGACAACTGTTGTGACTGTTGCTCCCAGCCACAAAGATCCAGATCTGTCAGCTGCAGAGCCCTAAATATTTGCTAACTGGCATATTGAGATAGGCTGAAATTAATAGCATTTGTCCTTAATACAGGTCGTAAAATGCCTCAGCACCCAGCACTGCTGTGCTGGAAGCACTGTTGAGGTGAGGGCTGTTAACTGACTTACACAGACTTTCTTCAACCACCTTGCGTAAAGCTGCTCCCATCTGTGAATCAAAGCCCAGAAGCTGTTTCTGACAAAAAGACCCAAAACCATTAGCCATCACCCCCTCTCCTTCTGGGTTGCTTTCCTTCTCAGCAAGGACAAGTTCCTTCCAAACTTGAGGAACAAAGACCACAGAAGGAAGAAGAGCTCAGGATGGCATGTCCTGATGTCTTAGTACCATCGATTCTTTTCAACTGCCTAAGCCAATTTAGCTGCAAACAGAAAGTCTCTGCTTGCCCCATGCATAGGGAAAAAAGGGCTTACGCACCCACATGGCAAACTAAGAACTCCCTCTGGAAAAACTCAGTGATTTTTTCAGTGATGGATAACATGGGCATGCTCCCTAACACAGGGGTGTTCATTGTTGCATAGCCTTTCATGTCAGCATCAGGAGGAGAGGCAGCAGTTGGAACGTGCAGCCAAGGGAGAGGTGGAGGGCAGTATTCCTGGCACTAAGGCAGAAGTAGTCCAGAATACAAAGCTGACTAGAAAATATGTGAGTTTTGGAGGTCAACAAACTTCTGTTTTAATGGAGAAAGCAGATAAGCTTTTACAAATACAAATGGAAAACTTTTATAAATATGAACAAAGACGTCCAAGTGACTTAAGTACCAATAAGATTAGAATCTTTCCTCTACTCCTCCACTCCCCACACCAGTTTTTGAATTGCAGACTACACTGAGTATTGTATAAAATACCAACCCTCGACAGAGTCTCTGGGTGCCTCTGTATCCACGAAGTTACAAACCATTCATACAACATCTTTTAAGCACATGGTAAGCAGTAAACTGGGATTTAAGCATCTATCTTATCAAAGAGAACAGTAAAGGACCATCTTTGACCTCTGAGAATGAAGCTACTAACCACGTGAAGCAGAGGTGAGGGTGTGCTGAATCTAGCCAAAAGTGCTTTGCAGAAAACAAGGTATTTTCTACCTGTGAGAAATCACTTTAGTGTATCCTACCTGTTTTAATTAATTTCAGACATTTTTGAGATACACATCAAGGCAGAACTAACTTAAAAGCGGAGAGAACACAGGGGTTGGTTTGTTTGTTCCTTTGATTTTATACTATTAGATTAGATCATGAGAGACCCTTTTTTTTTCCTGAAAGCACTTGTTTTATGATGATCGAGCATTTATAAGCCAGATCCCCAGTTGATATAACAGTGTAAATTTTCTTGCTTGTCCTATTAGGTGGCCAGATTGTGCACAGCAAACAGGATAAGATGGTTTTACTTTGCTTTCCCCACCTGAGTTATTTCTTTTCCTCACTATAACCAGCCAAGTGGTTGTGTGAACATCTAAGCATACCAGAGTAGGCAGGCAAGGAGAGAACAGGAAGAGAAACCTGGATACCTTTAAAAGCCAGAACTGGACAAGAAGTCAACTGACATCCTGAACAGTAAAATACGCAAAAAGTCTCCTTTTCAAAATATACAGATGCAACACAAGATTCACACACACACAGCTGGCAAACATCCCAAGAATGCTCTGTACAAGGTACAGAGAGGAATCTCACCCTCGTTCTGCATTTACTACAATGGCTCTGGGCCTGTCATGATCCCCACGCAGCACCATTCCAACTGACTCGCCGTTCAGCCTGTGGACATTGACTGAATTGGTGGCCTCGCAGGTCCAGTACAAGGTATGACTGTATATATCAATGCTAAGGTCGTGTGGCTGTTTCTCTGGGTTCTGGCTTTGGTTTGGAGTACTCATGACAGTGAAAGGCTGCAAGACAACATGTGGGGAACAATTTCCATTAATTATTGTGATTATTGACTGAAGAACACTGATTGCACAGAAAGCATGGTTTACCTACCAACCTACAACAATAACAAGGAAACAGCAAATACAAGAAATGTAATAAAGCTTAACAACAGTAACAAAAAAAAAGATTTGATTCAAACTGTGGATTGGAGGAAAAACATCTGGAGAAAATGCACAAGATTATGCAAAACTCCCCAGAAAGCAGTTGTGGGGCCTCCTGTAAGTAGAATTAATTAGCAAGAGATGGAAGAAAACAATACTGAATGTTTATGCATGGAACAAACTTGAATGGAACAATGCAAGAAACAAGGCAGCCATCTGGCCAGACTTGCACTGTTATACAGTCAACTGAACAAATCTCTACCTTTTGCCAGAGTCTCCTTACTTTATTATTTATAGTGTTGTAGATACTGATTTTCTTTAAGTCCTGGCTTCTCTTAAAAATGAAGATCTTTTAATGAAATTTGGTTCTGTTTGCTTACATGTCAAATGGCTACAGCTCTGTTTGACACCCATACTAGTAACATTATCTTGCTTTTACCCTCACAGTCTTTATGACAGACCTTACAAAACTTGACATTGCCAAGTTCCTGGAAACATTACCCTCAACCTCTTCCAGCATACTATTTACTACACTTCTAACTCTATGTTGAATACTAGACTTCAAAACTATTTCTGTGAAAAGCACTAGAGCATATAGAAACATTCCTAAAGGCAAATAATCTTTCCATTGTTTCTTTAACATTACACAGGCTCCACTAGTGTACAGCCAATCCCAGTGCCCTTGGGATAGTAATACTGCTGGCAGGACTCCCAGCATCAAAGTAGCCTTCAAAGGTGACTGCTTCTGGCGACATGATGATGGTGAGGAGGCAGTGGTGGTTTCCTTAAGTTTCCTAATGCAGTGCTCCCAATCCAAACATAGAAACAGTATCAGGGAAAGTTTATATGGGTCAAGAAAGTTGGAGACACCATTCTGTGCTCAACTTATGTCAAATGAATTACAGAACATAGCATTACTTGTGAAAGTTATATTTCAGCAACTTGATTTTAAGCCACTAAGTTCTGCATAGTGACATACAGGCTTTTTTCTTTTTATATAAAGCTTTATCTCTATTTTGTCTGGACAGTGTGACTAAAAATAAAAAGAAATGATTTTTTTCCTAAAGTCAAGGTTAACATTACTCAGGTATGAAGTTCATATGCACCGTCTGCAAACAGCACAATTCAGCAAAATTAAGTAAAAATAATTAGTGAAAATTGGAAAGCCAGAATTTGCAGGGGTTCTACGTCTTCAAAGCTGTGTGACCAAGGTAAAGGAAAACACAGAGCAAATGAATCTCCTTTGCAATTTGCACCTAGCAAGTACCAAAGAGAAGCTAGACTACAACAATTAGCACCTAGCATAATCCCAAAAAGCAAGAGCAAAACTTCTTCAAAATTCATCCACAACCCAGCTAGCTGCCCATCCCAACATACCTCCTTCCAATCCTAAAAGAAATGGCCAAAAAATAAAATTTCCTTTAAAGGAAACCTTTAAACCTCTGAGTCCCAAGATGCATGACATTGATATCATGTCATATTGCTCAGGTATGACTGCCCAAGAATGAGGAAAATGTAAATTGCCCACTGTCCACTTCCTTTCACATTCTTACTCAAAAAAGACTGTGTTACCTTGACCTGGGAGCTGTATGTTAACACATAACATTGCCTACAAGAAGAGTACACTTCTTCCCACTGTTGTGTGAATAACTAGCACAAAAAGAATACTGTCCCCAACAGATTTAAAACAACTAAGCATGTAGATAAGCCTATACCTATCTGTCACGGCAATCAACTCTGCATTCTCTCAGGGTTTAACCACAGCTTGGATAGCTGAGAGTTTTCAGTTTGAGAGAGCTTTACAATGATGACAATATTATCACACAATTGGCATGCATAATATTAATTTTTAGAATACAGTTTATCTGTGCTGAGTATAAAGCACAGTATATAAACTTGGTATACTCAGTCTGCCTTACTTCAGTGCTCAGCCTTCATTAAAGATTGCAATTCAAGGCTTAAAGTTTCAGATACATACGACGTACTACATTTTATTACACATCTTTGTGTATAAATTAAAATCACTATCCTAAAAGCCCTCAGTAATTTTCACACACAAATAGCATACACATAAGAAAGTGCTAGCAAGAGTAAAGTTTAAATCAATGATTCCTTGGTGCAGGAGATGGAAAGTCAAGCATAAAGCATAATGCACACAAAAGACCTGCACAAAGCTACACCATGTAAACTTGCCTGAGTGCCATCATCTTTGGCTCTTTTTATAATATTCTGACGTCCATCCACCCAGTAGATAAATTTATCTAAGGGATCATAATCGATAGCCTTAACATTCCTTAGACCATGCATAGGCAGTATGATATCTGGACTTTGCTGATCATCTGGTATCATCCGGCTGATTGCAGATTTCTGGCTAAACAACAGGAAGCTGGCAGGGGCTAAAACAAGCCAAAACAGAATGCATAAGAAAATGCAACTCACATGGTTAAAAATACATCCACACAGAAGACAATATCCAAAACAAAATCCCAGAGAGGCAATTATATTCACAATGAAAATGAAGGTAATTCATAATTGAAGATTTTTGCTATGAAGTTGAAAATGTTTCTTTGTGTACTTCTGGAGGATAAATGTGCATATCCTCACCCAGAAAGTATTTCCTTTTCATGTTATAAGATAAGTATGTGCCCCATATGGAATTTAAACACCAGTGACAATGGGGAATACAGAGTCAAAGGTCTTCCTGTATCATCATAGAATCATTTAGATTAGAAAAGACCACCCACTAACGCAGTACTGCCAACTCCACCACTAAACCATGTCCCTAAGTGCCACATCTACATGTCTTTTAAATGCCTCCAGAGATGGTGACTCCACCACTTCCCTGGGCATCCTGTTCTAATGCTTTACAATGCTTTCAGTGAATAAATTGTTCCTAATATCCAATCTAAACCTCTCCCGGTACAAGCTGAGGCCATTTCCTCTTGTGTTCTATCATTTATTACTTGTGAAATGACACTGAAACCCACCTTGCTCCACCTTCCTTTCAGGTAGCTGTAGAGAGGAATAAGGTCCCCCTTGACACTCCTAAACTTGTTCTCTAGACCCTTCACCAGCTTTGTTCTCCTTCTCTGCACCCGCCCTAACAGCTCAATGTCCTTCTTATAGTGAGGGGCCCAGAATTCAACTGAGAACTTGAGGTGCAGCCTCACCAGTGCCCAGTACAGGGGGATGACCACTGCCCTGACCCTGCTGGCCATGCTATTTGTGATACAGGCCAGGATGCCCTTGGCTGCCTTGGCTGCCTGGGCACAAGCTGGATCATGTTCAGCTCTGTCAATCAGCACCCCCAGGTCCTTTTCCATGAGCACCTTTCCAGCCACTCTTCCCCAAGCCTGGAGCATTGCAAGGGGTTGTTGTGACCCAAGTGCAGGACCTGGCACTGAGCCTTGTTGAACCTCATACCACTGGCCACAGCTCACAGATCCAGACTGTGCAGATCCTTCTGCAGAGCCTTCCTACCCTCCAGCAGATCAACACTGCCACCTAACTTGGTGTTGTCTGCAAACTGAGGATGCACTGGATCCCCTCAGCCAGATCATTGCTATAGATAACAAACAGAACTGGCCCAGGTACTAAGCCCTGAGAAGCACCACTTGTGACCAGCTGCCAGCTGGATTTAACTCCATTCACCACCACTCTTTGGGACTGGCCAGCCAGCAAGTTTTTTACCCAGTGAAGAGTACACCTGTCCAAGCCATGAGCAGTCAATTTCTCCAGGGGATGCTGCGGGAGATGGTGTCAAAAGCTTTACTGAAGTCCAGGTTTACAGCACCCACAGCCTTTCCCTTGTCCACTGTCATCTTGTCATAGGAGGAGATGGGTTAGTCAAGCAGTGCCTCACCACACTCACAGTAAAGAACTTCCTTATATCTAACCTGAACTTCCCTGTTTAAGTTTAAACCCATTGCCCCTTGTCCTATCACTGCAGTCCCTGATGAAATGGACTTGAAATATCCCTTCACTTGCTGTACTGAAAGGGATAACGAACACCTGGGAGCCACAAGCACTGAAGAATAGAGTAGCAAACAAAAGACTTACAACTACAGTTCCTGCTGTTGGGATCCAAGGTATAATGAGCAGCACAGCCACACCTAAATCCATTTGGTATGGCAAGGCACAAATGACCACAATGGCCATTATTTTGCACACAATCATTCAAGCCATCTTGACGTGAAGAATGGAAGACTAATATATCCATCACAAAATCCAGATGGCCCTGAATAAGTGTCCGGTTCTTCCCACTGGTCTTGTCTGCTCTTTCTATGCTGTGAAGATTCCAGTCTGTCCAGTAGATGTAGTCATTGTATTGGGTTAATCCGAATGGATGAGGTAGATCATCTGCTATGATTTCTCTCTCTTGGCCTGCAAAAATAAGGATAATAACTAAAAGGACAATTCCCAAGTCATGAAATGAAGAGTGCGACTGGCATCAAGAAAATGTTTTTGATTCCCTTTTTAACATATAACCTCATTTTCCAAGTAGGCATCATGGGATTCATTATTAACCAGTATCTGCTCAACAAGTAACCTAAACATTTGCATTCAAAAACCTTATCCTGATACTGTCTGGACTATAAAGCAGTCTGAAACTGTGCCAGTGCGTTGCCATTTAAATACTGCCCTGTACATCTCACGCTTATTATCCCAAACAGATGTGGGAAAACATATTCAAGAATACCATCAGCTCAGGAATATCTTAGGCCAATAAAACCCCCAGTTAATATGCATGAAAGCAACAACATACAACAATCTCAAGATTCACAGAGAAAAAAGTATAAGAAATTATGGTGTTTCACTCTAGAAACACAAATCTTTTGCAGTGCAATTTAACATGCCAAGAGATCAGGAAACCATTTGTTTGGCAGAAATCCCAATACTCCCACACTCAGTGGCTCAGATAGCAACATTCACAACAGTTTTACACCTTCCAGAGCATTAGATTGCCTCTGCCACAGATACACTACTAAGTACAGTCTTATTGTAAATCACCTTCCTAAACATTTTCAAGTACAAACCCCTATGAATCTCTGCAACTTTACACTAAATGAAGATGTAGCCTTCATCAGCATCTTCTCCTCCACAAAACATCCAATGCTAGATTCTACAGAACACTTCATTTTGATTCCCCTGCCCTATTTACCGTTGTGCCCTCTCCCATATGGCCAAGACTGGAGAAGGCATGAAAACCCCCAAAACAAGAACTTGAAGCCATTTCCCTATAAAACACCAAAGTAAATCCAAAGGCAGCCTTCCCAATTACTTTTAGGCATCTAAAGCGTCCAAGTTAGGTGCTCAGATATTCTGCACACTCAGGTACTCCTTAGAGCAATTCTGGTCCACAGTGTTGAATTCAGGGGATAGGCTCTTTTGAAGGAAGCAGATAAGCTGTCTAATTGAATTTTGATAGTCTGTAGATGGAGGACTATCTCCCCCTAGAAAGTGACTTTTTCCGTCTGGGTAATGTTTATAATGACCAAGATCAAGCTGGGACAGCATTCATTCATTCACTTAAAAAGGCTTCATTCATTGCTGGCAGGGTAGATGTTTCTATCAGCCACACTCATTCAGATCTCTCCTGGCAAGGAGACTGGCATGGCATAATGTAGGCCAAGTCTAATAACATTTCCTTAATTGATTCTGCCAACTAAAAAGACATCATACAATGTTAGCTTCAGTGCTCATCCTTTTACTTTCTCATCACAAATAACAGGAACAGTAGGTTCAGCTTTAGAACCAGTTTAATTTACCACAGATGATTTCAATATTGTGTTTCTTCTCAATGCCACAATCAGTTTCTAGTTTAACCTTGCCTATGGCTATTTTGCTTCTCCAAGTGTAGCGTAGAAGCTTAGTGAGAGCTTTAACAGATCATAGACACTGGATGGAGGAATAAGCAACTCTAGATAAAGCCAATCTTACTGCAACTTCTAAACAGTAATACAACTACAACAGTAATCCAAAACAAACAAATACAAGAAATACAAAATCAGCGATAGCATCGGAATCCAAAACTGCATCGCTTTCTCTGTTTTCCCGAGCTTAATAGATTCTCTGGAGATAATGCACATACAATAAACCCTTTAAAAAATAATCTAATATTCTCACTCTAATGATAGCTTTTCACAGATTAAAGAAAAAGAAAAGTTGCAGCAAAGTTACATATATCATCAATCAGAGCATTTGCTGTAACAATCACGTATGAGTTTGCTTAAATACTGTGTTCTGCCAAATAAACTTTGATTTTAATATGCAAACCTCAGAGGCATTAATTCCCATCTCACAAAGGCCTTTCCTTGAAAATGGTACTGGGATAGGATGTCAGGTCAGGAACTTCTGGATGCCATTTCTGATCCTATCACTGATTCATTGTGTGGCATTTGGAAACTTATATAAACTCTCTTTTCTCAAAAAATCTGCCTCAGCTAAAACCTTGAACACCATTTAATATTTACAAAACATCTGGACAATACAAAAGCTCTATGTCAGCTGCAGAAAACAAAATTTCCTTCTTTTATCCAGTTAGTTATCATGTCAAAATCTGTATGAAAGTTTAGTAAATCTTAGCACACCCCTTGTATGTATAAACAAAATTCCAATGGAAGATATGAAAATGTGTAAAGTTGTGTACAAAACATGTTATGATATACTGCAGAAGTAGCTGCACAACACTTCAGACTGCAGGAAATGCAAGCTGTATTTTGGTTTTGTTTTTCAACTAATACAACAGTGTAAAACTGGAAACAGAGATAATACTTCAACAAAAAATGAGTGTCCAGACTGAAAAGTCAGAGGTAGTTTAGAGTGGACCTATATGCTGCCCACACTGAGAAACTCAGAGATCACCTCTGCCTTGGTAAAACACAGGCATTTTCATATCAACACACAGAAATGACATTCTATCTCACCATCACTATAAATCATTATATGGTTATTAATTTAGGAATAGTTAAAGAATATTCTTAAACATTCAACACTTCATTTCCTTTCATGAGAAAAATATACACACAAGTTTAATATGAATTATACTATTCCAATTTTATATTAGTCAACTGTTTTACTATGGCCAGCACATACTGTACTGGCTGGTGCAATATAACACTAGATTACCTAGCATATTTGATGACTCAATCATGCTTGTGTCTAAGTCAGTCCAATATAGCCTTTGGTCTGCATAATCAATAGTGAGGTCATTGGCACGACCCACTTTGTCCACCAAAGTGATGCTGTTTGTTCCATCCATATATGCTCGAACAATTCTAGGTTTACCTCCCCATTCAGTCCAGTACATGTATCTGCAAGGACAAGTGGAACAAAAAGAGTACATCGACTAAGATTGTGTTTAGCTGCATGCTTTGCTTTTTCTACATTTATTTTCTTAATAATAATAATAATAATTAAAAAATAGGAATAACCCATTAAGTATTGCAGTACATAAAGGCAGAAAAATATGATTGACAATTCTTAATTTTTCATTGTAACCCGCAGGATTGTGGAGCATTTATCATCTTTCCGAAGACTCTACAGAAATGGAGCTATATAACATGCCAATTAACTTGTCATGTACAAGAATAAGCACACAAAGCTTTGAAAAACAGCACTGTCCCTTACCCTTTGGTAGGATCAAGAGCCAGAGACCTTGGGTTGTCCAAGTCCTTCCACACAAGGACCTGCCTGTACTGTCCATCCAGGCGGGCTACTTCAATACGATTCGTTCCAGTATCTGCCCAGTAGAGATTCTTTCCCATCCAGTCTACAGCCATTCCCTCAGGATAATCCAGCCCAAACTCAATCACATGTTCAACAGAGCTCCCATTCATGAAAGCTCGGCTTATGGTCTGGAAAACAATTGTGTAAAACTATTACAGTGTTTACAGATAGCCCACAGAAATAAAATGAATGATCGCTATCAAGTTTACTGTACAAAAAAATAAATCATAAAAAAAAAAATCAGCCAGTGTTACATTTTCTAAAATAACTTTCTGTTGCCAAAAATGACAGAGCAGTTCACAGAATAAAACGATGTGAATTTTCAAAGCTGATGGTTTCTGATGGCTAGTCCAGGACATCTTAAAAGGGTATGATTTTCAGAAAGCGCTATGTATCTGCAGATTCTTTCTTATCTCTTCTCCCTCCTATTTACACATACAAGGTTTGGTGGGCTCTTTTTAATTACTTCATTCACTGTAATGTTTTAAGTCTCAGAAACAAATCTCAAACCCTATTAATTTCTTAATGATTTGATAAATGAATGTGTCGGGGTAAGAGACATTTTATATTTTACCCTGTGGCAGGGGTGGTCAGAACTAGATGATCTTTAAGATCCTTTCCGACCCAAACCAGTCTGTGATTCTGTGATTTTTTTAAAGGTAAATCTCAAAACCAGAAATCATGTAGTATATCTGTACAGCTATAACCCATGTCTCAAAAAAAGTATAACTCTTTTTGAAAGCGGATCCTCATACAACCAGAGGCAGGAGGAGATCAGGGAAGTGGTGGTCATCAAAGGAAAGGGAGAAGACTATGGGCTCTGAAGTTACACTACCTGCTGCTAAGCTGCAGGAGGCGGGCGGGCAGAGGGAATGAAAACCCAGATGTGCTGAAACATACACTGACATCTGTGTGAAAATAGAGTATGCTGGATAATTCAGGAAGCCACAAACAAGTAACATGTTTTCCAGTCCTGCACAGTGAGACCGGGATCTTTGCACTGACGCAGCTGAAATAACGTGTTTTCCACTACAAATAGTTAAGGTGACCACAGTCCAGCTCTCCATGTGCTTGTGGGAGATTTATTTAGTAACTGTGTCTGCAGTATGCTAATTTATTACATTGGCACTGCTCCTGAAGGAAAGGTATCCACACCACAACCAGCACTGTTAACGCTAAAGTACAACCCTCATTAGTCTTCACAGAGAGGCTATGGAAACTCCACATGCCCTGCAGTGGCTAAAAGTGAGCTTTTCCCTATTACGGCTTAGGCACATTGGCAAGGAAACTTTGATTGCTTCTGGAAAACCTATTAAAAGGCTAAACAGGAATTCAATTCCAGTGAAGTGAATCCATCATTTTCTACCATTACTTCACTTCAAAAGCAAAGTAACGCTGATGACCAGCACAACACTTATTTTAGCATGCACCTGGATGTGAACCAAACATGTCACAGGCAATGTCAAACTCCTGGGGAATACACTGAGACAGAACTGGGGACAGGCCGGGGCTTAACACAGTGCGGAGGGTGCTGGACAAGTTCCCTGGCCTTTTCTGTGCCAAGCTGGAGCCACAGACTAACAGCAACCAGTCCAAAGTTCGCTTGCCAAATGTTAATATTGAGTAAGATTGCCTTTCAAGTCAAAACTGGAAAAGGATAGAAAGATGGGATGGTTGTCAAGCTCGATGTTTAAATTACTCTGTGACATGAAAACAGCTTTTCTACAATAGATGCATATATGGATGCAGCACATGCAGCATCCAAGGCATTCGGTATGGGCAGACACTACTTTGGATTTTTCTTTGAAGCAGGAAAATGCCTGTCACCCAACTGTGCATTCAACAATGCAACTGTCTTCATCTCCAAGAGTCTCCTTGGATGCAATTCAATGACAACATTAGCAACTGCAGGACAGATCATGTAACAGAGACCTTTGTTAGATCAAAGTAACTGCTCTGTGGCTTTATATTCAGGGAATTCACATGTCAGTAATACCTTCAGACTAACATCAGTCCAATAGATTCTGTTATCAGAGACATCAAAATCCAGAGCAGATGCTTCCTTGACTCCAGTAAGAGGAATAGCAACATCATTATTATTTGTTTCAAGGGAAATCCGATGAATTGCTGCTCTGCTTGTGAAAACTAAGAAGGCTTCAGGAATGATGCAAGTCCTCATGTCACTCAACAGCTCAAGGCCAATGGGACAGGCACACCTGGTCTCCTGGGGTGTAAAGAAACACAGATGGCTGCAGCCTCCGTTGTTCTCTGCACATGGGTTAGTTCCTTAAAGAAAACACAAAACAAAACAGTTACTGGTGCAGTGTGGAGGTAGGGGGAGGCTGAATGGAAATGCAATGTAATTATAATTTTTCAAACTAAGTTATCACTATGGGTTGTCAACAGGGAATTAAAAAAACCCAAACCTGTGAGGATGGAAGGCACGGACCCAGAAGCAGAATGCAAGCTGGATCATTTATTGCAAGATTACACGATATTTATATGCTTCCAAGCAATTAGCCAAGCACCCAACAATCCAAACCAACATTCAAAACTGTTTATTTCCTCCTACCCGAGGATTAGGAAAGTGGTCCTATCCCTCCTATAGTACAAATAATAGCTACAAACATAGCCGTCTAGTTTCCCCAAAGATTGAGTTCCTTCACTGAAGAAGGGTAATTACATACATGTTCAGCTTAGCTATTTTTGGCCAAATACTCCATCTTTGTATCTCTTTGAATCCATCCATTTTTCAAATGTTCACTGATACAAAATTATGAGAAAAGAGCTGGGTAACTGCAGTTCTTTCTCAGCTGTTTAATTTAGAGCTGAAAAGATTCATTAGCAGAAACAATTCCAATCAGATCACCACAGTCTCACACTTATTTTCCCTTGTGAACAGCCATGACCAGATAGGAAGGGAATGCGGAAGACAGAATAAGGACCAAAAGATAAATAGGTGCTTATACCCCATCTGCAGCAACCACAGATTTGGGTATTTAAAGACTGTTACCACAAGGAAATCTCCAAGATCAGCCTCAACCAGGTTTCTTTCCCTTTTTAGGACATACATATTTCAGGCTAATGCCGTTACTTCAGCTTGAGGACTTGACTTCAAGTAAAATTTCCTGAAAGGCTGGAAATCCATGGACTAGCAAGGTGTAATTTGACAATCTACTGCATGTGATCCTTCTGCAACTATTCTCTGCTATGCCCAGACTCCAATATTCCAGGTAGTTGACAGATCTGTGGTGAACACACACCTCTCATGAGTTACTAGTGAAGCCAGAGGGTACTGTGACATACTGCCCTGCAGAGTGCTGCCAGAGGACCTAAAACGCTGGTTGCTTGTTTCAGCCAATGCAGTGGAAGAACATGGAGCTCTAGCTGCTGATTCCATACTAAGGGCAAGATTTAATTGTTACTATTTAAGTATGATTTAGGTGTTAAAGTTAATAGTGTAGTGCCACATACTTTGAGGCAATGCTGTAATGGCCACTAACTCTGCATACACTACTCAACCTACTAAAAACCATTCTGCTAACAGAATATCACTGAGACGTTGTACTAGAAGAAAAGAACATCAGAAAATGGAGCAATTCTGTGAGCACTGAAAGTAACAATTCCTATTACTGGAGGCAGGAATAAAGTTTTCCTCATAAAAATTCAAAGAGTGCAGTAGGAAGCTCTGGAAGACTTATGTCAAATGTCACTATGAAGCAGAAGCCCATACTTCTTTTGTAACACTGTATTTTCCCAACTTTAGAGACAATAGCTACAGTTTTCCTTTAAAATTATTAAAATATATGATCCCACAGTTATTCTCAATACAAACGATCAACGGTTCCTTAATGAAAGCAAACCCATCTAGAAACTATTACAGATTCATCCTATGATTGCTCCTGCTTACCAAACACTTTGGTAACACTTGTTGCTTTAAGGCCCATTAAATCTGGCAACTGATCAATAATGATGTCTCTGCTAGCCTTTATCTTGTGAACTCTTTCAATGCTTCTTCTCTGCCAGTCAGTCCAGTAGATGTAATCTCCCAGCAGTGTGAACCCAAATATATGTGGAAGCTTATCTTCTAGGAGGGTTTTCCTCATTGTTCCATCAACATTTATGACCTGTGGGATGATAAGAAAAAAAGAATAATTAATCTTCTCTAATGCTGATACAATTAAATGGCAATATCAACCACATTTTGACAACTTCTCTAGTTTTACACAAGGACCTCCTGAAATTCACAGCATACTGCTTTCAAAAGAATGTACTGCTAATTTTGTTGAAAGATAAATATACTGGAATGACAAGACTGAAAGCAGCTTCTCTCACACCTTCTCCATGAAAAACCAAAGCAACGTGAATTTAACTTGCATCAGTTCAAACCTGCAAACAGCACTGCAAAGGGACTTTTTTGGGGGGATGGGAGTGAGATTCAGGAGATTTTCAATCTGCATTCATGCCTTGGTCTCAACTGAACTCTATCTGCAGAAACAAGGGATGGCTGGACTGACTTTCAGTACTAAATCACAGGGAACAGAAGCCATCAGAATTCTTTCAGGGCACAAGAAGGCCTGCACTTATGATAAGCAAGATCTTTAAGATGCGCAATAAGTGTTGACTTATGTAAATTTGTATTCTGAAAATTGCAGAGAAAGCAAAATAGTACTGGAGATGGGATAAGCCCTACATATATACATTTATGTGCAATATATATGCGCTATCGGCTAATTATTTCATAAGCAATTACTACAGTGATCTCGTGCTACCCCATGTTGCTTGGCATAAGGAGAGATTCATATGATCTGACCCTGACCAACAATCATGGGGCAAGATAAGAAATTAAAATGTCCACATACAATTCCTCCTGCCACATGCCTAAAGTCACCTCCATCTACTACACAAACTGCAATAATCTCTGGAGCATTCCAGAAATCTCTCATCCATGGCAAAGAGTGTATGTTTATGACACAGGCAAAATATTTATCTGACAAATCCCCAGATTCCTCCCCATCCTGCTTCTTGCAACTGGTAGCTGCAACATAACTACAGTATTTTTTAAGGTGCTGCTTGAAAACTCATACTGCGAGCAGCATCAAGTTCAGTGTCGCATTAAAACCAAAGCAAAAGACCACAACTGAAGACAATTTATTTTCCAATGTGCTTTGATGCAATTGCCTCTAGAAATGCTTCACAAGTGGCCAATTACTGTCCTTAAATTTAGGCTACCATGGCTTGTGACTGATGTTTTAAATAGTCTCCTCTTCACTACTATTTGGAAATTATTTGTTTATTCAGACTCATACTATCCCTGTACTTTGCAGGTGATTAAGTTGCCTTCACTATGCAACACTTTTACTTTTGTGATTTAAAGGGATGTATGGCCATTTCAATGCCATATTCCCCTGACTTTTAAATTGCTAAGTGTTTATTTAAGTGCAATATTTATTTCTTACTTTAAAAATGTCTGTAACTTAAACACAACGTAACAGTACGCCATTAAATGCCTAACAATATTGTTATATTGTTATATTGGGCAGTCAAAACCAACCATCAGTTTTAGCCTAATACAGATATCATACAACAGTAAGTTGCAAAGTTTTTTCCATACATGGTAGGCAGCAGAAACACCTACAATTTCTTTTTTCAACATGACTAATGACAACCACATCTTACTAAATTAGCATGTGAATTTCATTATGTACACACACACCCATAGCAGATACCCAAATAAATTAAAAAATGAAATCTCCATTTTGAAACCTTGTAATACTTTACAAATTTGTGAAAACAACATGCATGTCTTCTGTGACACAGTTAATTTGGGCACCACATTTCCCCTGTAGAGAAACACCAATCAGACGTGGTCAACAATTTTACTATGTGAATTTTATATTAAAGAAAAAATAAAAAAAAAAAATGTTAAATGCTAGCACATCGTATTGGGTTTGCATGGCAAGGAGGACTGTCTCCCATGGGAAAAACTCGACACTGCAGCAGGGGAAGAGTACGAGGACTCCTTCCTTGAGGAGGAAGGAGCAGCAGAGAATGTGTGATGAACTGACCACATCCCCCATTCCCTGTGCCCCAGAACCTCTCTCTAGGAGGCAGAGAAAATCGTGAGTGAAGTTGAGCCTGGGACGAAGGGAGGGGTGGACAGCAGCTGTTTTAAGAATTGGTTTTATTTCTCATTCCCCTACTTTGTTTTGATTGGCAATAAAGTAAATTAATTCCTCTTGAGTCAAGTCTGTTTTGCCTGTGACTGTAATTGTTGAGTGGTCTCTCTCTGTCCTTATCTTGACCCACAAGCTTTTTGTTATGTTTTCTCTCCCCTGTCAAGCTGAGGAGGGAGGTTGGTAGAGCAGCTTGGAGAGCACCTGGCACACACCTCATCTTCCAGCCACCGCCAGTCAAACAGCAGAGGTGAGCAGTCAGTGACTGCGTCCTGTATTTGCCTATGCTATGAACAAAAATAACCACTGTAACAGTCTATTTTGCAATGCTTCAATGAAGACTTCTTCAGAGAACAACTTCACAAGAACTTTATTCAGCAGCTTGTGTGAATTTGAACACAGGCTACAATGTAAACAGGATGCAGAAACACACATTATTTAAAACCATGTGTACTTGAACCATGTGTTCATGAACCTCATGAAGTCCAACAAGGCCAAGTACAAGGTCCTGCAAAACAGGTCAGGGCAATGCCCAGGATCAGTACAGGATGACAGATGAACACATTGAGCAGTGCTGCCGAGAAGGACTTGTGGCCAAAAAATAGGACATGACCCAGCAGTGCGTGCCTGCAGCCCAGAAATACATCCATGTCCTGGGCTGCATCACCAGCAGTGTGACCAGCAGGTCAAGGGAGGGAATTCTTCCCCTCTATGCTGCTCTGGTGAGACCCCCCTGCAGTGCTCATCCAGTTCCAGCCCCCTGACACAGGCAGGGACACCTTCCACTAGACCAGGTTGCTCCAAGCCCCATCCAACCTGGCCTTAAACACTGCCTGACATGCCACATTAACTCATAATTTAATACCTGAAATGGAGTAGTCTGCTGATTGCGCCAAAAGGAAACTTTTAAGGTGCATTCCTTATCGTTTAGCACAGAGACTAAAATACACTTTTTTCTGCTCAGGGTTTTTATACTCTTTCTGTAACTGATGAATGGATCTCAACTTGGGTCAAAGGACAAACGCAACACTAAATCTTCTGCGTTTTCCATACAAAATACTGAAAGCCCCCCTTGAACAGAGGCATACACTAAAAATCCCTGAGCAGTCTTAAGACTTTGATGATGAATCTCCTAATGAGGCATCACCAAACTCAGCTAAAATCTGCTGTGGACAAAATTAAATCAACATCAAACCTTAATGAACTGAATTACACAAAAACCACAGTAAGGTGATAAGGTGTGATTTGGTTTTTTAGATTAGATGCTGTGGCAGTGCATGAAAAATGATTTAACAAATATTTCCAAATATAATGCTCAAAAGCTCTTGGCTCTTTGAAGAAGATTAAAGTAAAACAATGCAATTAAATTCTACACATCAGCACGATTCATGTAATCGAGTTGTATTTCAGGTGCACCTGTGAAAAGAACAACTACTCAGCATATGTATAGGATGCCTTTTGACAGAAAGCAAAGAGAACTCAGACACCTTGCTCTTATATTTAATTCATTAAGATAAAAAAATTATTCAATTGCTACAAACAAAGCTGTAGTCAAACCGAAAACAAAATTTGGCTGAGCTAAATCACTATGTGAGCAGTAAGCGAACATAACAGGTTGTCAATGTTAAAATGACACGACTGCCATTAAGAGAGAGATCTGTGTGGTGGACCTGTGGGTCTATGAGCATTCTCTTATGGATCTATTCGTCTTCTCCTATGGAAGAGAAGGGCTACCCTTTCTTTTGCTCTGAGTGTGACTGAGAACTGGAATAGGCTGCCCAGAGAGGTTGTGGAGTCTCCATCCTTGGAGCTCTCTGGTCATGGTCCTGGGCAACTGTCTCTAGTTGGCCTTTCTTGAGCAGGGTGCTGGCACCAGACGACCTCCAGAGGTCCCTTCTAACCTCAACCATTCTGCCATTTTGTGAATGGCTTCTAAGGATTCTCACCCGAATAGTCTAAAAAGGCTTCTCAAGTGAACAATGCCCAGTCTTCTTTGGCTGAAGAAAGAACTTGTGAGACCAATCAAGTGGGTGGCAGTGAGCAGGGAAAGAAAAAGATAAAGAAAAATAGAGAGAAGTGGAAAACTCTGGAGGGTTTTCCCTGCCTCAGAGAAGAGTGAAGCAGCTGTAGGCAGTCTAAACCACAGCCTATATTCAGCTGAGTGTAAGCCATTTGTTAGTATTTCCAACAGCTGAAACACAACCACCTTTCATCAATGCTTTGGGATGAAAGTGAACCCTTTTTTTATTTTCTGGTCTGAAGGGACTCAATGTTAAGCATGTATTGGCAAGCACCGGCAAGCTGAAAAGAGAATAACATTAAAACTAACAGTACCAGAATCAATATATACATAAAAGGGTAGGGAAGGATAGACAACAGATGTATCTGGCTATTTTCCACACAAAAATACTACCACGTCTCTCAGCAATCTGTTGCCTCAAGCACTTGAGAATTTAGAAAGTAGTTCCTCATTGTTATCAATAATTTCCGTCCACCTTGACAATATTTAGGCTACCTGGTAAAAGCTACTTCATAAGTAAAATTCATCAGGTTTCTATTGTCATAACATTTTGTGGATTAATCCTACATGTATATTGTGGCTCTTTTTCAGATCATGCTCATTTTAGTTAAGTTTTGATGTTGACGTACATTTTTACTATCCTCTGATCTCTCATTGAGAGATCAGTGTTCATTGCCAATTGCAAACTATCGCTCATTTCTCACTGCAGAACATGCCATTTGGCTTGTTGAGGATGCAGTGTAACAAGACATTTCTCCTACAACTTCACAAAATCTTCTTAGTTCCACAGAGAGTATTGCAGCTTTGGACAAGACTTTCAAAACATGAGCACATGTAATAAGCTCTAACTGATGGATAAATTTCCTCTTGTTGGAAAGGTTAACATTGATTGGGATTCTGAACCTGCTTATATTTTATAAGTCTCATCTAG